TAGTCGAGAAGTAATTAGCCAAGGTTCGGAGCTGCAAACGTAGGGGGGAAACATACAGGACAACTGGTCCAATCTGTTCGCCTTTGGTACCGTCAGTTTTCAGTAGCGACAGACCACCGGCTAATAAGAAGATACACATGAGGGGGAAGGTCTTCATAGGTGGAACAGTCAGCTATATCCTTACACAAGAGCCAAGATTACTCACAGCCAACGTCAGGGTTCGTCGACCTTTGGTGTCGATGAGGAAGAGAGTAGGGATAGTGGACACGACCTGAATAGCGCCATAGCCAAGAGACGCGTACAAGGCCTGCTCGGAGGTGTAGCCGACATCTTCGAAAATTGTTGAGCTGTAGAAAGAGATGACTGCACGGGGTTAGGGGGAACCATAGACCGACCACGAACAGTGACTTACTGTTAATGCCGCACATTTGCTGGGCAAGCATGACGGTCGAGGCACCGTAGTTAGCGCGCCTAATCCTCGGCACGGCGAAACAGTCCCACAAACGGGCGAAGTAGCCGGCACCGCGGGCTTCCTTGAGCTCCTCTTCGTAGATAATCCACGAATAATAGAAGTCTCTTGCGGCAATGATGGGATGAGCTCGCAAGCGCATCATGGATCGGAATCCAGACGCATGCTTCCCGTGCTTCATGAGCCAACGAGGGGACTCGGGACAGAAATAGATACCTACGCCGAGGATGAAAGACGGGATGAATGCTGACCCGAGTTGGAGACGCCAAGAGATATCTCCCGTGTCTTTCACAATCACATTGGCGCAGAAGCCCAAGAAAATACCTGCAGTGGTCATTAGCCATGTCTTGAGACAGCCGACCGAAGGTCACTCACCCGCTACCACCCACAGTTGCCAGAACATGACCAGAGCACCTCGAACTCGAGCCGGGGCCATCTCGGCGGAGTAAATTGGTACCGTAGCGTTCTTTGCGCCGATTCCAATACCCATGACGAATCGCGCGGCGAAAAGCCCTTGCCAGGATTTGGCAAAGGCCGAGCCAATTGGGGTGGCCGTGAGACAGCAAGCTGTGACAAAGATCTCGCCTCGTCGGCCTAAGTAGTGGTTCAGTGGATCGACGATAAAGGCGCCACTGTGTCCCAGGTTAATCGTCAATACGGAAAGCCACATATCAAGGCACCCAGCATACGCACATAAGACCAGCAGTCAAGAAAATGATTGCATTGATCACACCCACGATCCATTCAGCTCTCGCCGTTCCAACCAGGCCAAATTCTTGTGGGAACGAGAGGTTAGCGCCGTTCGATCCCGTCTGATCCCATCCCTGGGTGGCGGCGCCGACGGCGCACAACGCGATCGAGTACCAGAGCATGAAGGGGCCGTGCCATTTGTGATCGCGCTCATATGCGAGGGCAGCGCGCTCTTCCTCATTGAGCTCGGTAATCATCTCGAAGCGTTGGGGGTCCCGCGCGACCAGGGCGGCGCGACCAAACAGATCTGCGTGCTCTGACATCTGGTGCGACTCGGCGAAAGCTCGGGCATCGAGAACGGTTTGTTCCGGTGAACTGCGCTGTGAGGGTAAACCAAGTCAGCATCACAGGTCGGAGCCGACCATCATCAAATTGCGAAGCTCACCATCAGCGGGTTCTCAACGAGATTGACAGCAAAGGACTGGCGGCGGTCAGCCGGGTCCGCCAGCCCTGACTTTGTGACCTGAGTCAGGTTCTCATTGTGAGCGGTCACGCCCACGGATGTCTTTTCCTCCATGGTGGTTGACAGGGTCAGGATAGAGCTTGAGAGAGATTGGACGCAATGAGTCTTCACTCCGGACTCCTTCCTGGGGTTTTATCTCTCGGGCGTCGAGCTCCCTCGGAGGGGACCCCGTGGGGATGACCTTAAATCTTTAAATCCTGCAACCGGTCATGGCGCGATACTTCCAACGCCCCGTGGGGAGAGAGATCCTAGCGTAGTGGCTCGGCGGGTCATCCAACATCAGGCCGACAACAAATTAGGGCAAGCCGCGGCTGGTGACTGGTCGCGTGGTTGCAAAATTGACCCACCGGGCAGGCGGTCAAAGCGGGAGGTTGAAAGAGAAAAGAACGACTCACGACTCCACAGCCCTAGAAACAAGACTCGCATAAGATTGGTAAGATTTCCTGGCAACGTCTTGTCACAATCTTGGTAGTCAATAGCGCCTTCTCAGAAGACCAAATGGCTCCGTAGTAGTCATGGCATGGTTGGACCACCCCAAACTTACCTTATCATTCTCACAGGAATCGTGATACGAGCGGCAACCCCGAATCCGACAGCCGCGCCGCCACCAGCCGTCCCGAATGCAACCTTTGTGGTCAATGTGGCTTCTGGGTGAACCTATGAAAAGTGAGATCCTGAGTCAGACCATGCCTCTATTGACCTTAGGTGAGAGACGGCCCTTCCACTAATCAGAAGTGAGATATCCCGGGCATTTCCCAGATGCGGGAGACTAGCGCAGCCACCAACGCGGCTTTGTTCTCTACTGGTGTCTTTCGGGATGGCCTCAGCAACTTTGATTAGCTGCTTGGCAACCTTTCTGCACTGGGATTCGCCAACTCAAATGCCACGCGAACTCGCCAGTGCCAGAGAGTCTTCGAACCTCCCAGAATAATCTAACTTGCACTAAGGATCCGGTTCTTTTCTGTCCACGTTCTTTGTGACTAACGGGGCACACTTTCAGACAACATTTTTTTTGTCTGTCCTTTGTCCATGGAATACATTTTCCCATGGGAAGAATGATGCATGACAATTCGGTCATTGTCTGAACCGGCCTTCACAAGGCTCACCTATGGATCCGAGCAGGGCGTCTTCTCGAATGCCGGTGCTACCCTGGTGGATTTTCTTCTGTCAGCCTGCCAGCGTTTCACCTGGGCTCACGCCTTGTTTACCCAATTTTTGCTTTTGCCGATCAGTATCCTGAATTGCCTTAGCCGATTCGGAATTTATCCAAACGAAATAGCTGTGCGGGGGATATTAATACAACTAGCCAAGACATGTAGTCATGCTCCTCATCCATTGCAGCGTCATTGGGTTTTTTTCAAATTCCTTGCCTCCTTCTCTCTTATGGCAGTGTGACACCAGTCAGCACGATACAGAAAAATAAGACTTCCCCCAGCCTGGCAAAGGACAGAAAAAGTCAAACTACCTCTCAAGACAAACAATAATGGGGCGCAGCGACCCAGACGCCATGGCTTCCACGGCGGGTGATTTCTCCTTGTCTTTTCCTTTGTTCGTAATCTGGACTTTCTGTCCGAAAAGAAAAAAATGGCTTGGTTCCTGGTTGTATTTCTGGAACTTAGAATGGGATGAGCTGCCCTTTTTTTCAGTCATTCGGCTTTGGTTTATCCTGGACTGTGACGCCTGACACACATACACACCATTTACTCATTCTTGCGCAATTGACTAGCGAGCTCAATAGAGGACCTTGAATCGTTGTTTATACGCGCTTGTGCGAGTACCATGCAAATATACGGGCACTAAACTGCCGAAATTGAGGTATCATATCAGAACGTCATATTGTTGCGATTCAAGTTCGCCCGTCGCAGTACTGACCACGCAGCATGAAATGAGACGAAGCTGACCCGGCAGGTGGCATTTAGAATTTTAAACCCTCTGGCACTCCAGTATTAGTTGTCGCTCCTATCAGTTGAATCGCCGCGGCGGACTCCCTCAAATTCACATTCACTCGGTAATTCAATTCTTGCTATTCGTCCGAGCCCTCGGGATGCTGGACAATATTGTGGAACGAAGCACTACAAAGCTAGGCAATTGTGCGATTTTATAGCCACATGCGCTCATCTGCCGCTCTCCGGGGCATCTATCATGATGCAGTGTATTTCGCGCTTCAGATAAATAAGCCCTTCGGTGAGCTCGCAGAACAGTGAGAGGTGCGGTGCTCCTCCATTAAGTAGTCCACACAAGGCTGATAGCGATGAAGGCGTCCAAAGACTTGCTGTGTATATGGTAGACTGTTATCGTAGTGGACTTTCGGAGCTATAATAGATCAAGGGGCATGGTTTGCCATGATTGTGGATGTACCCAACACATTCGCGAAATGAACCATCTTTTTCTAGTCTTTTTGTACCATTGTCGATACTTCTGCCACCATACCCTGGCGTGTCTCAAGACTGGTCCATTGAAAGATGTGTCCAAGCAAGGCACTGGGCAGGGGCCGAGTGATGCAGGAAGCAACGAATGATTAGTAGGGTGGAGGATGTGAGGTGTTGCAATGTTCACCACCTTCCTGATTGGGCGACTGCACTCAAAATCATGTGACTAGATGCCTCGGGGAGCGAAGGCCCACTGTTTTCTCTAATCTCGTTGCCCCAGCAATTATCGGACCCCAGCGATTCCCTTCCACAGACGCTCCCGAGAATTTCGGCTTCACGATCCAAAGCCCTATTTCGGTACGTATTTGGGGGGTCACCATGAAAAGCGTCGAGAAAGGCAAGGCATATTCAATGGGAAATAGGAAGAATAAGAGACATCTTCGGTCTTCTCAAAGGATGAGCCCTTTATCATGTTGCTTTCCCCCACCCTCTCTTATAGTGACATACTCAAGATATTTGTATATATATATTCGTTGATCGCTCAACTCAGCGCTAAACAGTACATCCACGAGCTCCCATTGTATATTATTCTTTCCAACCACCACCACCGATGATCATCTGTCTAAACCGTCACTGTAATATGTGGATCAACATCTCAGTACGGAACACGGGATCAATATGTCTCCTATTGCTGCCTGTGATTGAGAGAGTATGAGGAATTGTGGAGATACCTTCAACCGTTAAAAACCCCAAACATGCCAAGATCGACCGTGCTTTTTCCCGAGAATACTTTACTAGAATAGGTTCCTGAAGCCGACCCAGCTTTAATCTCCGAGATCGCTAATGTTCTACAAAGCGAGGTATGATCCATTCCAACATGAAAGGTGTTGGACACGTTCAACTGAACAGCCACTGCGATAACAGCATTTGATTCCTACCCAGAAGAACCATGCGTGTTTTGTCCACTCTAGCCCTCCTTGCCCTAGCAGCAGACCGGCTCATAGCCCTTGAAACAACAACAGAACTTTTCCACTTCTCTACCTCGGTGGCCATCGAGAACACCGCTCTCCGGCCAGACGGCAGCCTTCTTCTCACCACCTTCGACCAAGGTCGTCTCTACACCCTTAACCCCTCCGTGCCCAATCCTGAAGCGGAGCTCGTCGCAGCCCTCCCAGGTGCGACCGCCCTCTGCGGCATTGCAGCGATCGACGCCGACAAGTTTGCCGTCATAGGTGGCGTTCAGGGTAACTACAGCTACACTAACGAAACCATATACACCGTGGATTTCGGCGCCAACCCCACCAATCCAACCATTGAAGTAGTCTCTCGCATCCCTAATGCCATTATGCTGAATGGTCTGGCCGCCCTACCAGCACATCCGCACGTGGTCATGGCTGGAGACGCACGGCTTGGAGCCGTATTTCGCGTCGACACAGACACGGGAACTGCGGAGGTTGCCTTCAAAGACCCCTTGCTCACCGCACCCTCCAATGCATCCACTCCAATTGGTGTAAACGGGCTGAAGATTGCGGGCGGCTATATGTACTTCACCAACACCGCAAGGGAGATCTTTGCCCGAGTACCTATTGATGGTTTTGGGCGAAAGACCGGTGAGATCGAGGTGATTGCGGCGCTCAGTGGCGCAGAGTTATATAACTGGGACGATTTCGTGGTTCTGGACGATTATAACCTGGCGTATCTGGCGCAGCCGGATAATGCCATAGCCCAGGTTTCACCGAATGGAGCGCAAAATATTATCGTTGGAGGAGGAGATGATCATACGACACTGGTAGGGCCGACATCGTTGGCAATCACACAGGATGGAAAAACCCTCTATGCCACAACTCGAGGGGGCACAGTGAATGGAGCTGTGTATGGTGGGCAGGTTGTTCGGGTTCAGCTATAAGGAGATGGATAAGATAGATATGGTATAACTGCTGGAAGGTCGTTGGGTGGATGATGAATATATCCTAGCATATCAGGCTGAAGTATGATTGATTAAACTTTTGTATTTAAGGTATATAGCATGTTAGTTACTATGATCTACTTGAGTACGGCATTCACTGTTGTAAGAATGCTTTTCACCCACTAGGTAGGCCGCTATTGGCGGGCCCTGCTTTTTCCTTTTCTCTCCTTATACAAACAGCTCCTCAGATAGTCTATTAGGAGATGCCGACTGCATGATACTGCTATAGCTGCTTCCATCTCACATATCTACACTAGCAAATACCGGGTAATTTACGTCACCGCTGTGAAAATCAGGCCAACGTCGCCTCGGGCTGCGACTCTCCGCTTAGCGAGCCCACCAAAGTTATCCTCCATCTCCATACCTAAGTACTAAGTAGGCGTACTAAGGTGGACCCCGCAAGTCCAGGTGTTAAATAGAATAGGAATCATTGGATGGCTTGCGGATCTAAGATAAACTAAATGCAGCCTGATGATACGTTACCCAGTTGTACATCAACCAGTGGGATATCCGAAGAGCTTAAAATTATCATATGCCACATAGTGTTGTTGACTTGAAGTAGTAAAGGCTTTCACAATAGCAGCCTTCAACGTGTGCGGCCCAGCTTGAGTTCAGTGCATGGTTTCGGTATTCCTACAAGTATATCGCTAGCAAAAAACAAAGATCATAAGAACGGAAGACGAATCCGGGCTCTTTTCATTGGCATTTGAACATGCAACTAACAACCGAGGTCAACGAATCACAAGATACACTGCACAGCGGCTCGGGTCGGACCTCAACTATGTGTGCATGACGTGTTCTCTTTTCATTTCGTGCTAAATGTGCATTCGCTCGGAAGCATTAAGGGAAGCTGTATGTGATCTCCAAATATAAGCGAAAGGTGACAACTCACATAGCCCCCTCGTCCTCTCATGTACCACATTGAAGGGGGACGAATGAATCCAGAATGAGGGGTAGTTAGGCAACAAACGCTTGTACAGTATATGTGGCTGGCTCAAGTTCAGCTGCCCTTGTATTTGTTGTTATCACCTTGCATTTGCATCTCGGAGAAATGAACCACGGCCAGTCAATGTCCTGCGCCTCACCATTTCATGCAAGAACTTGGGCCTTGGCGACAGATGTATATACTAGCACATTGCATTCTTGGTCGAAAGTATGCCTCTTGTGGAAGCTAACTGGTGCAAAAATAAATAAATAAATAAATAAATAAATAAATAAATAAATAAATAAATAAAAAAAGGAAAAGAAAAGAAGCTGAGTATGATGCTGGTGGGAAAGCCCTCAAACGACCCATGACTGGAAAGCAATGTCGCAAAGGCGCAGGAGCTCGAAGATTGGCTGAAAATGGTTCTGCAGGTGTACGCTGATCAATGCAATCGTGCCCAAGATGAGGGAGGGAATTGTTTTGGTACGGCGATGCCTGTGATACTGCCGTTCGCGTGGCATGAAAGACGGTTTTTTGAAAGACATATAAATCTTTCCGTCCGGAAGGCATGTGAATAGAACACAACGGGTTTTCTTCTCAATTTCATCGCATTCCTTACTTCTACAAGATTTGTTGTGCAGTGTGATTGAAGTGTCCGTCATGGCTAAGCAAGAACTTTCTCTTCTTGGGACCGACTCACGGCATGTGGTTTTTACTGAGACCGAGATCGGTTCGGGAAAGGCCAAAGTCTCTGGTCTCAAAGGAGGCGTCCACTTGTTGAAGTGTTTTCTCGGTAAACTCATGAACAACCAGGCCGGGGGCATGATGGCAAAACTGGAGGACCCCCACTCGTCGATTGAATTATTCGGAGATAAAAAGAACAAAGACTCCTTCCGAGTCCAGCGACGGCTTCACATCGGAGATCCCCGGCTAAAAGAGGACAAAATTACTGTCTCTGAGAACCAGAGCGCTGCAGTGGTCTTATTGGACGATCATGTCCGGGAGAGAGAGGAAGAGTTATGGAAGCTCTTTAAACTTGTCAACGAACTACAAGAAGGTCTCCTGGTCTGCAAGATCTCTCGACCCCTTTCCAAGGAATACCAGGTCAACTTTTTCGAAGTGCTTAAAACAGTGGTCAGTAACCGCGATGACTTGAAGCAGACGTTTAAGGAGTTCTTGAGCCTGGAAGACGACTCGATGAGAGTTCTTGATGACTGGAATATAGCTGGCAGGAAATTGATGGACATACTCAAGGGAGATATCCCAGATACGGTTACCAGTAGTGAGAACTGGAAGTGGCTGAAAGAACTCAAAGAGCCGCGCACCTATTCCATCAACAAGTCCCTAGAGAACAATCTGCAATCGACAAGAGCTACTGCCAATAACAAAAACTTACTCGAAGCAATCCAGAACGTCCTGGGTTCCACGGGACAGCTATCGGCCAAGGATGTCATCACTCCATTGAACACGACCATGAAGAATTATGTCACGGACAAAGACTTATCGCAATTGCTCGGTGAAACACCAGTTACAGCTAACGCTGACTTGTTAGAGGCGCTCAAGGCAATACTGCCCCATATAGATGCATTGGGTGGATTTTCGAAAGCAGCGAGGTTTTCGAAGCCCCCGAGGTCGTTATTGGACGCGCTTGTTAAAAAGTACAAAACACTGCAAAGGCGGCCCGTTATCATAGTGGACGCTGAGGACCTTCGGAAGGAGGGTGTCCAGCTCAGTTATCATTTGTCTTGGGCAAAAACCGTGGAAGAATTCACAGAATTCCTTACGGGTGGTACCCCTTTTGCGGAAGACCTCAAAAAGTTCGAAGACGGAGAGAAAGCTCCGCATCTCATTGTGAGATTTGGATGTGATGGCACCGTCCATTACGACAAGAACAACCCCAAAGAGCTTAACCTCTACTACGCGAATTCCAAGTTCGTGGAAGGTGATTATGTCCAGCATAAGGGCGGAGAGATGATTGGCGAAGCCACCGCGTTCACGGCGGGGCTGGTCTCTAAATTGGCTGATAATGATAGCGGATCCAACATGAGCCAAGCCATTTCACTTGGGATGAAAGCAGCTTGCTGGCTAGTCTTCAAAGGGTTTCGACTTGACCAGCAGGCAGGATTTATGTACCCGGATATATCCCCTATAAGTGGCCCCGAGGAAGTCTCGCCAAGCGGCCCTTTAACTATCGACATTGGCGATAGATCAAAGTTTGAAACAGGAAGATGGAGCATTCTCACCAATGGGTACAATAGCCTAGAGGTGTCTCGCGGGGCAATGCTCAAACTAGCAAAAAGTATTGTTCGAATTGGCACCGGCAAGGCCCTTAAAGACAAGCCCACAGCACAATTTGGAAACCTCGTGACAGTTGATAGGGAGGAAATGGAGAATTTTCGAGGGATCGCTAATCTGGTCCAGGACTATATGAAGACTCCTCAGACCAAACCGCTCTCGATTGGCGTCTTTGGCTTTCCCGGATCAGGAAAGTCTTTCGGAGTTGGGGAGGTGATCAAAGCAGTGGCTAGTGGACAGGGTAAAGAGATCCACAAATTGGAGTTTAACCTGTCCCAGTTCCTTGAGTATTCAGACCTGCTCGCTGCTTTTCAAAGTATTAGGGACCAGACCTTTTCCAACAAAGTACCGGTGGTCATGTTCGACGAATTCGACTGTTCTTTTGGCGGCAAAGTACTTGGGTGGCTACAGTACTTCCTTGCCCCGATGCAGGACGGTAGATTTCTGGAACGCGGACATCTTCGACCCCTCGGGTCTGCCATTTTCATTTTCGTCGGTGGCACATCGCCGACCTTTGCAGAATTTCAAGCAACAGCCCGTGAACGTGCCGCAGTGGCCGCGAAGAAGCCCGACTTTGTGAGCCGCCTCCGTGGCTCGGTTGATATCTGGGGACCAAATAAGCTCAGCTCGAGAGATGACGGTGACGAAACATACACTGTCCGACGTGCAATCATTCTTCGCTCATTACTTGAAAGGAATAAAAGGGTGGGAGGTAGTGACTTCAACGTGGCAGATAAGGTCCTCGACGCACTGCTATGCGTTTCAGGATTTCATCATGGCACTCGATCCCTTGAAGCAATTGTCAAAATGAGTAGAATTACACCTACCGAAGAGTTCACGGCCGCTGGCCTTCCGTCAAACGACCGCCTTTCTCTCTATGTAGACCCGATCGAATTCGGAGAATGGCTCAAGGGTTGGCGGGACAACAATAAAAAGAAAAGAGATGCCATTACAAAGGCTATTTGGGATATAAATTATGTCCAGGCTGCACGTAACTGGGAGCCTAGCGAGGAGGAAACAAAGTTGTTGAGTAAGGCGGTTGCGGAGAATATTTCGATTTTCCTTGACGGCACCAAAGCGACCGACTTAACACAATTGAAGGCAGCCGAACCCGCCCCACAGCAACATGTCCAGCGAACTGTCGAAGAGCGAACCAGCGACCTGCGTACTAGGCTAAATAAACCCGAGAACACGAAATCCGAGGACGAGAAATCTGAGCAGAAGAAAATCCAGCAAATAGCCAAGGGTGCCTATGACCAGCTGAAGGCCATCAGGTCTAACAGAAGGACAGCAGTGGAGATGATAATGCCTTGGTGGTTCGTCGAGAAACAGAACGAACCTAGGAATAGATACTTCGTGATAGCCGATACTGTCTGGATAACTCTCACAACCAGACATGCCTGAGTGGTCTAATGACGAGCTATCTCTGTTTGAATCGTCTACATCTAGGTCACGTACGCCTGACTTGCAAGTAACTTGTATTGAGGTTGGGGTTTTAAAGCCGGGTTGGGACCAGGTAGTATCCTAGAATCATGGGCCTCAGGCTGGAGATTGATGCTGTATGCTTGGAAGTATCAGACATCGTCTCGGGTGGATAATACTCCGTAGTTGTTCATGGTTCACATTGCTCGAGCAACTGTGCTGTCCTTTTCCTGCTTTCTCCAGAACTATTCCTTGATCCGATTTTGTTTTGGCTTACGCGTGTCTTGAGGCATTCAGTCAATGTACTGTCGCCTATAGCAGGTAAAGATGAACACGTCTGTGATTGCGCTACCCTGCACAGTAAAACGTATGTCAACAGGGAGACATCAAGCCGATAATCCTAGGGATAATCTTATACTGCTATCTGTATCTTATAATCGCCGAGTAAGTTCATATTTACCTAGGACATCGCGTTTAGCTCGAGCTGAAAACATCGCTTTCATGACCAGCATCAGTATTTTTGCTACAGCGTAATATGTAGGCCATTCTTACCGGCTGAGCTCTTCTATTCGTATAACTTGTGGGTTATCAAATCTAACGTACCTAATTTCATCATTCAGTTAAGGCGTGTATTGGCTAGAGGCGACCCAAAGTAGAGGGGAAATGGACATCCTTGGGAGATTGGAGTCCTACTGCGACCACCCGAGGACATTTTAACTTTGGAGGTCCTACAACAAAGTAGGAGTACCTTAGTTTACAAACATCCCGACTTGATCCTGAGCTTGTTGTCACTCGATTCTTCTAGATACGAAACATGACTTGTTGTTATACCACTGTAGCTTCGGTATACCTAGCAGTTCTCGCCATTGATCGGGTCCTTGGTCGATCGGAATGAAGTTGGCTAAATATTCTATGTCTATCTAAGAAGCTGCGGGTCTTACGAACCAAGCCAAAGCTTGGATATGCACAGCCGTGGAAAATGATCTTATTTGTCTCTGAGAATTACTCATTTTACCTCTGTGATGCTTTCAACTTGTGTTCTGGTGTCTTTGGGTCTTGATAACCGTAGAGATGTAAAGAGGGACTCAGTACAGACTGAAGAACACTCATATATTCGTTCAAATACACACGTTAACATGCCCTAGAACCCCAGCTCAAAGTTCCCATACATCTGTTGTCTGTCGGATTTATTGGTGTCATTGGAATACAAGGTGAACCATGATCCTGCACCAAGTCATGCGAATGATGTGACGCCCGCTGCTATGAGCGCCTCTTTCTTCGCAGCCGATTCCAGATTCTATTAAGCAACCACCCCCCCCTCTTTTTTTTTTTTTTTTTTTGAAGTCGTGTTTCCCCTATCCAGAAGCAGTTTCTGCGATTGGACTTCTGTTTGAGTGCCCGACTGCTTCATGCGAAGCCACGGGCGGGATGCCAGCTTGCGGCGGCACACAGGGCAGGTATCCGCGCCCCCGACTCATCCAGTCACTAATACAGGGTGAGTGAAGATAATGGGTGCGGCACACCTGGCGGTACGAGGCATCCGGTGCCAGGTCTTCCCGGCAGAACAGGCATGTTTCTGGTCGGGTTTCTGGACACCGTCAGCAATGATCAGGGAGTGAGATAGATGACATGCTCACCGGGCGGTGGTGTATGCTTGTCAATGAAGCTGGTGGTCATGTCCTCCCTCATTGTTTATGTGTATGTTTATTAATCACTAGTCAACTGATAGTTTATCAGGACATGAATATGGGAGGTAGAGATGAAGTAGCACTGCAGTCCGCTATAGTATGCTTATCAGAAAGGTCAATGTCAAATGAATTATACGCGTCCGAAATTACAACACAGAAATTGCCGCATATTTCATCACAGCATGATAACAGTGAAAAAACCATAACGCTTGTAGTAGCCTTCCCATTCGGGTTACAGCAAGGGAAAACCTGGCAAAATATATCCCAGGGAAAACCCGTGCCAAGGCATGAAATCATCATAGGATGAGCCTCTGCGCTAAGTAGGAGCCTATGTCTCATCCCGTAGAATGCCTGCTGTGAGCTCCCAAGGTCACAGTTGCACTATTCGACGTCCGGGAAAAACACGTCCTTCATAGATGGATATGTAAAGACCTGAAGTTTAGGCGCCAGAACAGACGTGGCCCCCTGGCCGTCGGACAGTCCGTAATGGATAGCCTGGGGTGCCGTCGGCCATATTCTCTTTTCAAACCAGTGGACATGGGTCCAGTTAACAAAGGTCTCGTAGCCCTCGCCTTGGTCATGAATAAGGATGGTTGCCTCGTCCTGTCCCCTGAAGTGCCTTTCCAATTGGACCTCAACTTCTGGGCCCCACTGGCCAGAGGCGGGCTTAGTGTTGAATATAATCGCGCACTGGGTGCGCCGAATGGATATATGGAAGACGATATCCCCAAGTCCGTTGGTAATAGAGAGTTGAGTCATGTCACTTTCGGAAGGACTGGGTGGAGTTAAGTCTACAAGCGCTGACTTGACAATAATTACACTGTCCGTGCCCAACTGCTGTCTGAAGCAAAGAGAATTTCTAAGTTCCAAGGTAGCCTTCGGTGGTTGAATCCTTGGCATTGTCAGCACTCAAGAGTTGAATAAACAAGAAGAGACCTTACTTCGGAGGGGAAGGTTCAGGAGTTCTGTTATATAGATCAGGATTAAACGCTCCCTCAGCGCCGCCAGAGATTGATGGCTGCGCCTCGAAGTTGTCAAACTCAGGCATACGGGTGGGATCCTCGTAGTGTTTACTATCATTGGTACTACCAACAATCTCAAGCTCCAACTTTTTCACTTCGGTGGAACTCAATACGTTGCCACCCTACGTCGCATGGCATTAGCAGTCATTCGGGGGAGACGAGAGAAAAGGGAAGTGAGAAGGGGGAAAATAGGAGGGCAGAGAAAGGTTGAAAGGAAGTGGCTGCATGGGATTCTCAAACCATAATCACACTCCAGTAGACATGATCGCGAAGATACTTCAGTACAACCTCCTTGGTCAGGGACCCTAATTTCTTGCCTTCTCTTGCCAGGTTCAAAAGCACAGGGGTGATGGCAATATATGCAGTTGACCTGACCTTCAGCTCCTTCAGCTTTTCGCAATTGACACACTTACCATTCTCAGTTTGTACTTTTTGACTGAAGTTATACACTTCGGCAATCAGGTCCAACACTGGCGCGGGGTTCTCATTATCCTGAGCCAAATGCAGTCTGATCCAGAACGGACCTCCCCCTAATCCAAACCTGTTAACTGTTAGACTCGCGATGTATTACACTGATGATGAGTGGGATAAGCAAACTTTAGGAACCGAATGCTGAAGGCATAGTCCTGGATAAGCAACCCGCCCTCGACAGTCGCCATACCGTCCATGGTAGGAAATTTAGGGTCCAGTGCCAGAATTCTGGAAAATCCATAGAGCAAGTTAATCCTTCTGTTTAGGTCCTTTACGAAGAGCCTTTGATTGAATTTTTTGTTAGGGTTGTACTTTTCCAACCAAGGCTGCAGATCAGCGTATGAGTAACCCAGCTTTGCTGTGTATCGCACATCTTCAGGCGTTACATAAGTACCTTTCTTATCACGCCGGAAAGGGCGTAGTGGAACCGTGGGAGAAACCTTTTCCTCATCGTAATTTTCATTCGTGATTGTTTCACCACTTGGAATGGAATGGACATCCAGCCATTTCTCAGGATTCAATGCCTGCCAGATTGCCAATAGACGGTCAATATTACTGCTCAAGGAGAGATCGATCGGTCAGTCATAAGTTCAATGGTCAAATACGGCCATAGAAGAGAATAAGAGGATTAGCACTTGCCAGTGGTGCAACCAGAAGAGAGGATCAAAGGCTGCAACGGGAACATTGGCCATGTGCCCATCACCTCCGGTACAGCCGTGGATGTAATTGTGAATGAACTCTAGATTAAGATCTTCGTCCACTGATTTATTTATCATCTCGGCCTTTTTTTCTTCTTCGGTCTTTTCTTTTTGTTTGGTAGCACCTTTGTATTTGTCATTGTATTTATTATCGCATTCGTCATTGGGAGTTGACCATATCTTTGTGCTGGCAAAGGTGATATATTCTATGGGAACCGTGAGAAGACGAAAGACCATCTTAGCTGTTGTTCCGTAAGGCTTTTCTGGTTTCCCCTCTTTCGCCTAGTCAGTGCTTCGGAATTTATTAGCTATTTTGTAATTGTTCACAACGCCTTGCCGCCATGCCTCGGTGTCGGGTTTCCGATCTACCTCATCTGGCCATCGACTAGTTCCGATACAATAGCCAAACTATATTATTGGTTAGCATTGTTCTAGCTAGAGATAGAGCGCGTTTCCACAGACCTTCATATCCTCTGCATTGTTATCTGCGGTTTCCCAAGGGTTATCAGTTCCTACACCGGCTGAAAGCATTGTCTCTTCGGTAGGATTGCGGAATTGAAATAAAGGGATTGGCGGGCCCAGTCCCAGTAAGACAGACGCCATTGGTTTGCCTCTTTTTTCCAATTGCACTGCTGAGCACTGGGGAAGTTGGGAATGACTTCGTTAACCATAGCCTCGTAGATGGATTGCTGAATTCCAGATGGAGGAAGTGTAAGCTGTCTATATCGAATATGACGCAGTAACCTCTTGCACATACCTCATAGAGAAGCATATATGGACGATGCCAGATGGGAAACAAGATGTTTGAGTGAGCACAGTACCCATTTCGCAGTGGCCCCGGAGTGGGATCGTCCCATCGTGTAAATGGATGTCCATGTATACCTGCCACTCCTCAGCTTTCCATGGAGTAATATCTTTTAGCAGTTGGCTTGATACCCGCGATTTGAAAGTAAGACAGTCTTTCTTTTGGATCCCTCTTCTGAAGCTTTTCCAGGGCTAGAATGAATAGGTCCACCTGCCTTCTGTTACGCTGGTTGGTGCTCCATTCATCAATGTCCTGGCGCACAGGTACTTTTCTATTAATCTCAGCATAAGGGTCGGATTTTTGGTCAGGAGTCTCAGCACAACAGTCGGGGTCTGGGACAGGAATCCCTGTAATAGGGTAAAACTCATATGACCCAGCATCGGGCGCCATTCTGCCTTAGGCGACGTGAATAATGGCAAAGCCTGAGAGTATCTTCGTTTTGCGATCGATTCGCCCGGCAAAAAGGATTGCCATGCAATCAACAACGCAAATCTCGCTTTTGCTGTCGACTCGACCCTATTTATGTTGTCCAAGGTGCAGATATACCGGCCCTGATATTCACAATTACACGATGAGTGAATGATAACGACATTCTTAATGACGCAAGATGCAGCATCTTATCTGCGGTTAGATCCAGCTCTTTCCGAACTTAATCTGCAGAACTTATGTGTCGTAGAGTATCACACCAGTGCAGTTGATGTAATTCCCTCTTTGAGGTCTAGAACGGGTTATAGTCCAATGTTATGTAACTATTAAAAGTAATCTGTCATTAAATTGAGCGTGTCACCATTAACCGGGACAACATAGAGTTCCCATCCTTTGACATAATCCTACGAAGGGAACTTCTCGACCGCTCCATTTACCACGCGAGATAAACTTCCGCATCATGTAGCAGCTGTTTGATCCGGTTTCGGTAGTAGACAGGCAAGCCTGGCTGATCTATATGACCCTCGACATCTACATGAGTGGGAGAGGTTAATCCGCCGCGGAGATGGGACCGCAGTGGTATATAATATTGACGTCTACTACAAGGTTATTTTGGTAAGACTCTCTTTTGCGCCGTGCTCATACTATGCAGCAGTGGCTGTGGAATTGGCCACCTGCCTATAGCTGTGCTGCTTGCAGACATCTCAACGCGTTTCCATCCACTACTGTCGTTGGCCTGCGGCTGGACCACTTCACCCAATTCCAAATATGGCATCTCTACACTACAGCTAGATGTACCAACGCCAACGTCAGTCTGCGTAGGATGCTAGATGGGCTGGATTACCGAAGAAAGTGGGTACCGGTAACAAAAGCATTGGTTTGTTGTCACTAATAAACCCACAACCGAGTGTCACTACTCAGGATTGCACCTTGAGTAGCAATCAACATTTACTCCTTCCGGAAATCCGATCAGGATAACGCAATCAATCAGGAAACAGCCATGTCGGCCGGACTTTATGCCGAGTACTGAATTGTAGTCATTCAAAGCAGCCCATAACCTCAATATTAAGGTTTATACAGACATAAAATTTAATAGAATAAGGCCAGTGAGGCTCGGGCCGCCACTAAAATATTTTAGATATAGATAGACCAAGAAGCTTGCTTTGTGCTAATGTAATAATTGAATTCAACCTAGTAGAAAAACCTTTCATGCTGCGTTAATGCAGCGCTCTATTAGTATATCTGCTTAGCAATCATATACAGTTGAATGATGTGATTATCACATACAAGTTTTGGGCGAGAATCAAGTTTCAATGGCCGCATGCAGAGCGACGTGCGCATCAAAACAGCCCTAACAAGCCATTACGTCCTCGACTGGAAAGCCTGATGCAGGACGGTGTCGCCTGAAGGTTCCATGCCGCTGTTGCCAAATAATGGTTTAAGTCTTGGGGACGGTCTAGATTTCTTAAAGCGGCCCCGCCAAAGAATGCCGGAAGCAACCTTACATGACATGTCAAGTTGTCGAACAGCCAATATGATTGGTGATTGGCATTTCACCGAGTCAGAACACCACAGGATCCGGCCCTGTCATTCGCTCACTGCCAGCGCAATGATACCCTTGGATTCCGGCGTAGGAAACAGAGCACATGAGGAGGTAGTAACAACGAGCCCTATTGGAAGAAAGCGGTATAAAGATAAATTAAGATTTAGAAAGGAGCTGAGGAGATGTATAGAATGTATACTCAGAATTTTGATCATCTTCATAAAAGCTAGCGTTCTCTATTCATCTAGTGATACTGTTTTGACACAAAAGTCACTCGTCTCCATCGCATCCTTGCGCACATTGTTGAGCCTTGAACAGTGACAATTAGCACATTATGGGCGAGTACAGCACGGGTCTGACTACCAAGACGCTTTACATCACTGAGGATTCACCCCAAGGGAACCAGTGCAAGGCTAACGGAGCCGGCGATGAAGCGGGATGCCATACTTCAATCGATACTCTGAGCGCGAAGGATATATCGCAGCTGCAGTCATGGAACGGGAATTTACCCACCGAAGAGGACAGTTGCATCCATGAGCTTATCGAGGACCAGTGTTCTGCCCAACCAGATGCCGCGGCAGTCTGTGCTTGGGATGGCAATTTCACATACAGGGAGGTGGACCTGCTCTCCTCGAGACTGGCCGATCAGCTTATCTCCTGTGGTGTTGGTCCTAATCGCATCGTCGCTGTCCTTTTGAACAAATCCAAGTGGACTCCGGCCGTCGTCCTGGCGGTTTTGAAGGCCGGAGGGGCATTTCTCTTATTGGACCCCGCATGCCCCCACCTCCGCCTACGCCAGATCTGTGAAGAATCGGGTGCAAGATGGATCCTTTGCCGCAACAGCCATGCTGCGAAAGTTTCGGACCTTGGGCCAGAAGTGATCACAGTGGATACAGTACAATCACACCTTGCGATCAATGCAGTCGACATTAAAGGCCGCCAAAGGACCTCTAGTAGCAGCTTAGCCTATGTCATCTTCACCTCTGGCTCCACTGGAAAGCCCAAGGGCGTGAAGATCTGCCACCGATCTTTTTGCTCCATGGTAAGACCTTATGTGGAGGCAGTCGGCTACAACCGGGAAACGCGCGCCCTCTCCTTTTCCTCCTACGCTTTCGATGTCAGTGTCTCGGATATGCTCATCCCTTTATTGGTTGGGGGCTGTATTTGCGTGCCATCGGAGACCCAACTCATGGACAACCTGCCGACGGCGATATCCCAGCTGCAAGCCAACTTTGCTGACATGACACCCACCCTCCTCAGAACCCTGCGACCGGAGCAAGTGCCGAGTATAGAGACGATTGTCGTGGGAGGCGAAGCACTATCCAAAGATATCGTTACCATCTGGAGTCCACATGTCCGTCTGGTTAATTCGTATGGACCGGCGGAATGTTCCATCAACGCAGCTCTGAACAACCATCTAACGCCACAGACGGACCCTTCAAATGTGGGCTTCCCCGTAGGCGCCCGAATTTGGATCGTCGACCAGGATAACCATGAGAAATTGATGCCCGTGTCTACCGTAGGGGAATTGGTCATCGAAGGCCCTACTGTTGGAAGCGGGTATATCAACAGCCCAGAGCAAATGGCGGCCTCGTTCATAGAACCCCCGAAATGGATGCAACATTTCCGCCCTAGTAGCCCATACAACTGGGGACTGTATAAGACGGGAGATCTTGCCCGCCGCGAGACGGACGGCTCGATTAGAATCCTCGGTCGAAAGGATAACCAGGTCAAGATCCGTGGACAGCGCATGGAGTTGTCTGAGGTCGAGCATCACGTCCGGGAATGTATCCCGACTCTGCACGATGTGGCAGTGGAAGTCGTCGTACCTCAAGGGGATCGAAGGACTCCTGTCCTGATAGTATTTCTCTGGGGTATGAAAGAGAAGAGCCCTGGAAACCATTTGTTCGCCGTCCCGAGTGATGCTACGCGAGCCGAGATGGCCACAGTTCAGAGCGAGCTGAAGAAGCGATTACCGATCTACATGGTCCCTGTGGTCTTTCTTGTCTTATCCACCCTGCCCTTGACAGCGACCGGCAAACTGGATCGTCGGCAACTCCAGACAGAGGCAGCTGCTCTGTCTTCGATGCAGTTGCTCGAATATAACGCCACTGCCACCACCCAGACGCGAATGCCGACTACCCCATCGGAGCGCGCCCTCCAACAGGTCTGGGCGCGTGTATTGAATCTACAACCACAAGTCATCGGCGCTGACGCGGATTTCTTCGGGCTGGGAGGCGATTCGATCGCTGCGATGCAGGCCTCCGCACAAGCCAGAACCGCCGGTTTAAACTGTCGAGTGGCAGACATATTCCACTGCAGGACCATTGCCAAGCTGGCAGGCTCATTGGGAATGACAACCCAGTCCCCCATGACGATAGAAACAGAGCAGCTGGATACACCATTTCATCTCTCCCCGATCCAGCAAATGTTTTTCGAGGAGGTCCCGCCCCAACAACACAACTACTATAACCAAAGCTTCCTCCTGCGATGCAACCCTCCCACGACATCAGACGAGCTTCGGGGGGCCGTCACCGAGCTTCTTACATATCACTCTATGCTTCGGACGCGATATAGTCATGTTGCTCCAGGAAGATGGATGCAGTCAATTCCCGCTGGCATTGATGGCAGCTACCGGTTCCAGGCGAAGCAAGTCAGGAGTGATGACGAAGCCCGTGCGATCATGATGAAGAGCCAACAGTCCTTGGACATTCAGCGAGGGCCCCTGGTAAGTGTGGATCTTTTGGATATGCAAGGCGAACTTGAACCAGAACAGTATATCTTCATTGTGGCCCACCACTTGGTAGTTGACTGGGTATCCTGGCGCATAATGCTGGAGGACCTAGAGGGGTTGCTCTCAACGGGGAGATTGTTGGACAGCGCTCCCTCCCTTCCTTTCCAGATTTGGTGTCGACTTCAATCCGAACACGCTCAAGCCCACCTTATGCCCGACGCAGCCTTGCCATTTGAACTGCCACCTTCGCAGGATGCCTATTGGAGTCTTGCCCCTCACCGGAATACTTGGGCGGACAGTCACCAGGAACGCTTTACACTGGACTTGGACGCTACGAAGTCGCTTCTGGGGCCAGCCAACAACGCTTTTGGTACACAGCCAGTGGAGGTCTTGCATGCCGCATTGCTCTATTCGTTTACACAAGTGTTCCGGGACCGGCCGCCGCCAGCTCTCTTCTCTGAAGGTCATGGACGCGAGCCGTGGGACCCTACTATGGACCTTTCACGCACGGTGGGGTGGTTGACCACTATCTGGCCAACCTATATTGACATCAACCATAATAACACCCTGGGGGATGTGCTGCGTCGCGTCAAGGACTGTCGACGACTGGTCCCCAGCAAAGGCTGGGCTTACTTCGCCTCACGATACCTGAACAGTGAGGGCCGTAAAAGGTTTGCCAACCACGGC